GTCAATGGCGACAGAAGTGAATTGCCCGGGATCAAAGTGACAGGGTAGCGCAACGTGGTTTTGGTTGTGCTGTGTCGTGAAAGATGCGAGATCATGTTGGTACCTACGCAGCTCTGCGTAGCTGATTGCAAGTCCTTTATGGTTTAGGGTTGTGGTCAAAATTTTGCCTCCGTGTTCAAGACCATGAACAGATTCCGCATTCATGATATGCATGGGTGTTCTCCTTCTGTCGTTTCTTTCGTCCACCTGTACAGTTCTATGATGCATGTATATCCTTCAATCATCTTTCTATGCGACAATTCGTGTCTTAATTATCGCATTTGGTAGACATCTTATACTTCTTCTAATTAGGTGAACTCCAAAATGTATAATAATGGTGTCAATCAATTCCTTAGTGTTAAAAAACCTATATGTTGCCACAAAATCAACTTCCTATGTCACTTACTTACGGAGTTATCATCATTTGACGAAATTCGCAAAAGGCGCTATTTGGGGGGTAGGGTTGACCCTGAGTTACAATAGAACACCTGTGCATCATATAGAGCGGGGAAGCATCGTTTTGAAGGTTGGGTCACTTAGAGCACTTAATAAGGAAACTTTTGGCCAATTTTGGTAGCTCTAGCCACAATATTGGGTGAGTGAGAAGCAATCATACTTAGAGCTACTTTCAAAGTGAACGCGAATTTTGGCTATTTTTTGGCTAAAATTGAGCAAAATGTAGCCATTTCGTACCATGAAACAAAGTTTATGGCAACAAATCATGCTAGAAAGTTATTAGTAATACTCATTCAATGTAATTCAGAGCAATTTGAAAGTTTATGGTTGCTTAATAAATATTTATGCTCTGAAACTTCAATATTGTCATTTTTTCACTTTGGCGCCTAACCGAAAATCGCATAATTAGCTATACAGAAAAAACGTACTTGACTCAGAAGTGTTACCCAAACTTTTTTTGAGAGTCTTACCATAAGGAATGAGAAAATACAAGGTTTTGCTCTAAAAGAGTCATGTACACGAACACCCCCCCAGAGCCAGGAGTATAAGAGAGTAGATGAAGATATATAAAGTATCTCGTTGTGTGAGATCAAGTCACTTCATATAAAATGCGTGTGTGCAACAGACAGTATCTTGAACTTAAAAGCTGCTTTGTCCAATGTGCGGTGTCTGCAAGTGTAGTAATAGCGCTACGATGATTTGTTGTTTCAGATCTCAGGAAATGACAAAATATCGGGCAGGCTTTCGGCCGAGGTGTTGCGCCCATTGTTTTGTCCCCAGGTGGCACCAAAGCTACACTACCTGTGCTTCGCAGATCAGAACGTTGACATCGGCATGAAAGGGCGGCTTTGTCGCTCGCGTAAACAGATGATCATCGATTGTGAAGAGACCATAGGAGACAGTATGGCCGCGCGTCTTGTGGCTGGTTTCATGGGAGATTACAGCGATACGGATTTCTTGTTTGATTTCAATCTTTCTTATTGAGTGTGTGATGTCTCGATATGCAAAGAACTCGCTAAAGAGTGCAGCATTGGAGTTCCTGCGAAATTCAACCAACTTTTATTAACAAACTTGTTTAGTCTCTTATAACTGTGAATCTTATAATAACAGTATGTAGCTAAAAATGTATGTAGTAATTACTAGGTTAAATATATTAGTTGTACTACATGTTCTGTCATTATTCCTTATTGGTTTAGTGAAATACTTGTACAAGAAATTCTCACATCTTCTCAAACAAGTTGATCAGACAAGGTTAATCAACTTCTAGATTATTGCTAAATGGTTGTCGGCAAGTTATATAATTTATAATTGTCTTAACGCCTGCTGCTGTATATCAATTCCTATTATATGTGTATACTGTTTGGCTTTCCGTGTAATATTTATGTTGTAGACAGGATAACATTACCAGCAACCATTTTCATTCTGTTGCATATATCTGAAGTTCTGAACACTGGTCAAAAATACCTAGAACAGTGTAATAAATTAATGAAAACTAAATGTAATTTAAAAGTTTGTATTATTACTACAAAAACACGTTTGTTAACTTTGTAGATTATACCTAGATATTATCAAGAGCTAATAATACCTAGCTATAATTATTATTAGCTCTTGATATTATCTAACAGCCAACACAATCCTCTGCAAACATGACTCCATAAACATTCACACACTCATGTATGATTACAGAACTGCTGAAGCCTCATTTACTACTTAAGTAATGTTTTGGTGGGTATTCCTCTATGCGCATGTCTCCTTGTTCCCATGCCTTGTATGCCTTTGTTCTGATCATGTCTCCCTTAACAACCTTTGAATATGTTTCTGTGGAGGCGACTTCAGGCATTTTCAACTTCTTTGAGACCAAGAATTCCCCTGGAATGGTAGTAATAAGATTCGTGGCTACTGCTAAATAAACATTTTTATTTACCAACACTAAATGTTAGTCAAAGGTAATCAGTCAATGAACAACTCGATCAATCAACAATTTACTTAAACACGGCAACACTAATTATAAATTTAGTACACAGATTTATTGATTTATTACTTCACAGCTAAAGATTTTAATTAAAAATCTACAGGTATTGTTTATCCTAATTAATCCCAATTATTAAGACTAGCTGGAACCCGCGCTAAGCGTGGGCTTAGTGACTGTGATGCATGTGGTACCGACTGTTCAATACCCAGTGAGATAAGAGAAGAGATTGACCTTGACATTGACATTTAACTTCATTATTACATGCTTATTTCTACTTACATTATTGGACTTACAAAAATCATAAAAATCATTATTGGGCTTACATGCAGCACAACGTTGACAGACGGCGAAATATTACAGCACAACGTTCACAGACGGCAAATCTTTACCTTTTTTTTGTCTCTTTTAAGCCTTTTTTATCGTTTTCAACCGAGTATAGTTTAGAACCCGTTCCGTGTATTCATCGATCTCTTCTGTGAATTTGGCGCTATTTGGATCAAAACTGATGGAGCCTTTCATTAACATACATACATACAACATTCGGCAAATTATAGTAAGATGAAAAAAATTATAAATGAATTTTCTTACCTGTACGTTTAACAAGTGAATGTTCTACGTCTTCCTCTGTCACCTCTCCCCATGGAAACGTTACTTCTTTCACAGTCACTAAATGTTTTACCTGCAAATTCCATTTAATCAAGAAGACAAGTTTGTTAAGGATAGACTCAGGGTTATGGACAGGTACCTCTGTAAATGGCAATACAACCCAACTACTAGTCAATTCCAATAAAAAATATCTATTTAATAAAAGAGATGTCTCTACGCTCACTGTGAAAATAATAACAATAACATCATCGCTAATTACGTGACAGCAAAAATGGTAAATTTATATGAAAAAATACTTTTTTCCCCCACATTTCTCAAAAACAGCACAGGGTTCAAAATTTCACCCACAACCCTGTGTCTATCATTAAATACCATGTATATCACACATGATATGACACACAAAGATAGCTTTTCCTTCTCGGACAAATTTGTATAGAAATGAAATAAATAGTTACAAGTAAAATGGTTGCTTCGACACATACCTTCCACAATAATTTAAGCACACTAGGAGTATTTGGCTGAATCACTGCGGTGTTCCTAACAGTGTTCTTTCCTATTCCCAACTTGTCCAGCGTCTGTGAAAAATATCAAAACCAAAGTAAGACCTCTGTACTACCGCCCAATTAACAGAGACCTCGTCGTTGCATTTATTTTTACCCAATGCAATGCTCGTACGCGTGCAAACCAGTAACGCTCATAGGGTCTATGTCCCCCAGGGTACCGTACTGCCGGAACGTACCCTGGGTACGGTCCGGTATACCGGAACGTACCATGGTTAGGGGATAACTATTTAATATGGTTAGGGTTAGGGTTAGGGTTAAGGTTAAGGAGTAGGCGTAGGCGACTCCCAAGACTCGTTAGTGGAGTAGGCGAGGTACGGTCCGGCATATTAGATAGTACCAGGGTACGTTCCGGCATAACCCTGGGGGATTAGACCCTCTCAGCACCAGTAACTGTTAAACTAATAACTGTACATAAAAGTAAATGCTCGCTATACTTTTATATCAAACCACGGCCGCCGTTTGAGTCCTCTATGGCGCCAGATAAGGAGCAGTTTCTCTCCACGTTTCTCATCTGGTATTGCACCATGGCCACGCTTATACTCTTCGGCCACTGGCGGTTGCACTTTCTCATCTGGTCCCCATGGAATCATGTCTCTAGTTAACGTGCATGGCTTCTGTCGTATGTCTTGTGGGTATTTAGTTTTCTGCGGCCTGGTTTTAATGAATAGTCCGTAAAGTGTTTGGTTGGCCCAACATTGATGCGTTCCTGAAACACTCCTGGTTGCCGACACAACCATGGCCATGGGCATGAGGCCCTTAGACTTAGTTTGGTGAAGAAAATGTGAAACGGCATGTTTCATAGGCGTTACCATCGTGGTGATTGGATAGTATTAGTATGTTAACTATTTTACGTAACGACAAGCTACATACAAAAGTTTTAGCTTATTGTATAAAATTTTTACAATTCAGTGAAAGGAAAAACACGAATAGAAATACTAATAGTAATACTAATAGTAATAGGCCATGCAAAAGTTGAACACCGACATAAACATATATAACGCCCCCTCGTGGTACGTTATAAAATTAATCTTAGAGAGAATATTGGAATATGACAATTTATTTTAAATAACTAACTACAATCAATATTATGTAACATCAGTTATTTTCTAAGTAATTTATCAACATTAATTTTTAATAAAAACCTATATAAAATAAGTTTACATGGTAAAGCAAACACCTGAAAATTATATAATATTTTTTAACACTAGGTGGCAGTCGGATCAATTCCATGTCCGTTTCAGTTTTGTAAAGTTAAAGACTCGGCTTGCAGCTTCTCTTTGCAGCGTTTTGTCCTAGCTGCCTCGTATGTGATGACGGCCTACATATTAATCAGGGCTCACTGTGTGGACTATGCATGTGTAAGTTGGTGTTAGTTAACCTTTTTTTTTGGTGCGTGTCGGTGTTCTTCTGCGAGCTGCTGCTGATGGTACTGTGCGTTTGTGCTAAGCAGGGCGTGCGGGCAGCGTGGCGATTGTGTGTTCGCGAGCTGGACAGTGATTGCACTGCGTTGGCTGGCCATTGCTACCGCTAAATTTGTAAACGGGCAGTTATAAGCTTTGTGCGCAATTATTACTTGTATCGGGCCGAGGTACATAAACAATAAGACCTTTGCGTAGTCATAACTGGTGGTTTAGCTTTACCGATTTATTTTATCAATCTGTGAAAGCACTCAACACAGATACCACGCGACTCTCGCGCCAATAGAAAGGAACTGTGGTCGCGGTCGACATAGCAAAGTTACTTGAGTGAGCGTCACTGAGTAGAGTAGGCTCACAGGCCACCTTGGAAGCGTTTGCAACTGTGTAAAGACGCAAGCCACGGCCGCCGCCATTTGCGCGCACCCACTGACAGCATAACAGTATATAGGGCATGGTTGAGAAAGCGCTCCATTCCCCAAAAATTCCGCTGGACGATCTCGCTCGCATTTCCTCAGCGAGTCTGTCAGTAACACCCAATTATTTACCACATGGGCGCGCACAAGCAGCTCTCCACTTGCTTCTGTTCTCCTCTCTTACACAGAACTAGTGGGTCTCTCACTTGTTATAAAACGCCACATAATGTTCTCTGTTCAGTAACGAGCTGTGTCACGCGAAATCACACAAAGACTGACGAAATTCTCGCGTTCGCTAGCACTGCGCACCGGATGGTAACGAACTTTCGCCCATGGTTAAAGGCGGCGAAAGTTCGTTAACATCCGGTGCGCAGTCGCGCTTTCTCACCTGCTATATATTTATGTGTCAGTGTGCGCGCAATAGCGGCGGCGTGTGTTTACAGTTGAAACGCTTCAAGTGTCTGTGAGTAGGCTCAGCCTCAGTAGCACAATGGCAAGAAGTGTTGAGAAAGAAGAGTAGAAACTAGCACATTGCATTCGAGGAGTTTCCGCTTAGTTTGAAATGCGAAAGATGCTGTTCGCTGAGTGGCAATAGTTCACGTCTGTCAGGAACATGGCACAAAATCAAAAACAGAAGTGTTGTTTATGTGTGCAGCTCATTGAATGAATTCTATATGCCAAAATAGACTCAAGTGATGTGGCGAGTGAATCCAGCTATACTGGGGGTGACTGCTACGCAAAAGGGTACGTTAATTTAACCTGGTACAGGAAGAAAGATGCGATGCAGCTGAACATCGAATAGCACGTGAGCCTTATTCGTGCAGTGACCATGCGAATATCAACCTAGATCGGTGGTGGTTGGTCACTTCTAGTGTAGGACCCTGGCCCTCGCTTTCGCAAATGTGCTAAACTAAGATGGGTTCATGGTAGGTGCTATTCACACAGAATACAATACTAATGGTATGCTACCTATTGGTATATATATCATATGTAGTGGATAACAGCATGATTCTTATACAAATCGTTGCTAATACTGGCTGTCAGTACATCAAAAATGGACGATTATTGTCTAATAGTTTCTTGTGGTTAGTAGTTTTAACGTATAGGGTGCATGTGTGTCAGTCTTCGTGTAAATTTTCAACTATGTGGAAAACCCCAGCACACTCAAACTTACTATCTACCCAATTACATTGACATCTGGCTATCATATTATAGGTATATTTTACTTCCATCCTTGCCTTCGTGCATCCAGTGATATATAATTCTTACTGTGACATCAGAACTTTCAATGCAAATTAACATATATATATAAAACATATATACCATGATAAAAAAAACAGATTCATGTCGTTCAGAAAGTGATAAAGTGCTAGTATCAGCAGGAAAATTTCCAGCAAGCACTGGTTGATAAGTGACTCCCACATAGACTGTATCTCTGTTTACCAGTCTTTATACTCAAACCCAATACAGATCTGAATAAAAATGCTTTGTCTGACTCGATGAAAACATGGTGAATGTAATGTACTCAGTACTGGCAGACTGGTGTGCATGTGTTAAGCTCTCAACAGTTAGGCTAGCACGTACTACCAGCGAAAACAGCATACATGCAGGCTTACATGAGGCACACACTTGATTACTGGATTAGCTAGCTATCTGAGTGTGTTAAGTGATATAATGCAGCTTTTGCAGTATGAACCATACATACAGTGTACATGTACATGCAGTATGCACACGCTTTGCCATCTGATAAAAATTTTCTTGCAAATAGAATTGCTTGTTAAACGATTTAGTCTTTTAGTCATCCTTTCACTCTTTTTCAGTTTCACAGCAAAAATGGCAGGTAAAATCAAGCGTGATTTCAAGCCAGGAGATCTTGTATTTGCAAAGGTCAAAGGATATCCACATTGGCCTGCAAGGGTATGGCTGTGATTTATTCAGATGCGAACTTGCTTATACATGTACATGTACATTATATACATCACATGCAACAGACTGTAATGTGAATATTGACCTGTGATCACAAGTTCACTACTTTGTGGATTCAAATGTACATTTATAGCAATGGATTAAGTATGGGTGATATTTTTCCCCGAGTGTAACTGTGTACGCAAAATCCGTGTTTGCGGAAAGTTCAGCAACGTGGCAACTAGTCAGGAAAGCACTTGGCATGAGAAAGTGACTAATGTACATGTATGTGCATGTGGTGTTTGTTCATGTAGGTTTAGCATTGATGGAAATTTATCAAAGAGAATCTTATGTTCACACACAGCAGCTTGACAAAATATGTAAATATGTAAATATGTAGCTTGTATGGGAAAAATGTAATTATTAATGATTGTAGAATGTTGCATATTACTATCTAGACTATATATAGTGCTAGCAACATTTTGTACATGGTGTATGTGAGTTGTGGTAAATATTGGCTTGGTATTGAATGTTAAATAAATAATTAAGCCTTTTTAGCTCATCTGACATAGTCAGATGCAGCTTGTAGAATCGCATGAGCGTGCATCCGTGCGTCCGCGCGTCCGTCCGGCCGTGCGTCCGCGCGTCAACAGTTGGGCACAAATCTTAACCGCTCGACGTACAGTCACGATATTTGGGACGTGTGGGGTAATCCGAAAACGAGTTGGGATGTCGAAGCTGTGGGTCAAAGGTCAAGAGGTGTAAAAGTAGGAGGGAACATTCCCTCTTTAACTTAAGGTATAGGGAGGGAAATGCAGAATTGCGGCACAAATCTAAACAGCTCGACCTAGTCTCGTGATAGTCGGTGTATAGCATCATGGTAGGAAAAGCCATCACTGTGCCGAAATTGGAGGTCACAGGTCAATGGGGCACAGGGCAGATTTTAGACATTTTCCGAGGACATGTTTCATGTTCATGCGATTGAAAAACTTTTTTGTTTCAGTGGTGACCTACCATTTTTATGGCTTTATTGAAAGAACCATGAAATGTTCTTTCCGCTGACATGCGAAGAGTAAGTGTCAGATAACCTTTTGACCCTCAAGAGGAGGGTTAAACATGGATTTGTTGACTGTTAACAAAGGACTGAACTGCTTTTGCTATTATTAGAGCCCATACCTGTGTGAATGTGAGGCTACAGTTGCACAGTTTAATTGCAAAGGCAAATGTTTGTTGAACAAGGTTTACGCTCCTTAAATCATATTATTTTCTAAAGCAGTTTGTCTATAGCACCCTGAAGGCTGAATCAGTGAATGCTCGCGTGGGTAGGCAAAAACACGGGGCAGCCCATGGCTGGCACGCTTCTAATAATTGTTGCCTGCCAACCTGCAATGCACATGTGTCTGTAATGCATAGAGATTAGGTGGGTGTGAAAGTGTAGCAGATATATTTGTTCGAATTGGCTACGAAAGTCAAACAAGAATAAAGAAGACTTATGTATAAGACGTCTTGCTATGCACAAATGAATTTATCAGCAGAACACCAGACACCAGATGAGCCCTGTCGCACTGCGGCACTTGTTAATAGAAGCAAACATATCTTTCCTCACATAGTGGATATCATAATTAAAACAAGCATGGCTATGTACATCAGGGGTGTAACGATTCACGGATATATCGGTGAAGCGCCATACAGCGGTCCATGATGCGATAATCTATACGCAGCATCCGTATCGCGAAATGATATGGATGTCAAGCAGTGAATAAGGCAAGCTAAAATTGCACATGTAATTCCTTTTAAAGTGAATTCTATCTTTTATTTCATGAACTCCCTCTCAGTATCGCTTAAATATTCTCAGCTGTCATAGAAACCTGGGCCAATATATGTGGCGCTCTTGTATTGTCGCCAAAATTGTCACCGCAAAACAATTAAGAGTAAGAGTGCTGATTGATTGGTGCATGACATTACTGCGCACGTACTGAAGGACTCTGTACGTGCTGTATGGCGCGCATGTAAGCAGAGCTGTCGATTACAGATCAGTCTAGAACACACTCAGAATTTGTCAGTGTGTTTCAGCTATAGAAATATATATAGAGTAACTGATTGTTTATGTTATATTTCTATGGGTTTGGCATACTCATAATATGTTTGTGTTATGAAAGTACTGGAATACATATATTATTACAGTAAAATAACATTAGAATTCGGCTGTTCGTGTGAACTTTAAATTATAATTATGTTTTATGACAAATATGAATGCGTGCTAATAGAAATTTGTAGGTATATACTATTATTTATGCACTCACTATCATAATATACTCTGAAATTCCAGGGTATTGTATGCCTTTATTTAGTAATTTACAGATAAACATTAATAACCAAAAACATTAATTCGTACATGAAATGACAAATTTATCATGGCGTGCAATTTACAATATTTCTCTTTCTGTCTGTGTATCGCGATATATGTATCGTATCGTGACCTACGTGTCGAGAGACCTATCATAACCTGACCCTAGTGTATGGTTACACCTCTAATGTACATGTGCCAAAATGTAATAGTATCATATGTCAGGTTTAAATGTTGCAGTGTGCTGGGGTAACCACTCGTGGCTTGCCACCTGTCTGCCAAATGTAATGCCCAGCGAATGGCCAGTGTATGCACATGTGCATACATGTTCGGTCTTTGTTCTCACTTGTATTGCATAGTTTAAAATAGCAATGGTGAATAGATTTCCTTAATGTTGCAGATTGATGAGGTTCCTCATGGTGCAGTAAAGCCTCCTGGCAACAAACACTTCGTCTTCTTCTTCGGGACGTACGAGACGTACGTATTTTACGCTGGTGACGTATTGCATTGAGAAGAAAAGGCCACGGTTCCATGAAAATTCATGTAGTTTGCTATTTTGGATTGATTTTTTTCACATGCATTTTAGGCATCAGCATTTTCTTGTCAAGTTTATTGTTGATAATTGAATTGGTTATTCAATACAACATGGAAAGAACTTTTCAGTACCATGGAGTTATTGTGAATTACATGTATTTACAGACTGCATTGAGTAGTAGGATTATATATACTTTAAATATTATTTTATATATTATATGTGACTGTGTGTGTGTTGTGCAGGGCTACAGTATCAAGAAAGGACCTGTTCTTGTATAAAGACTACAATGAGAAGTATGGGAAACCACAAAAGAGGAAGCTATTCAACGAAGGCCTGTGGCAAATTGTGAATGAGCCTACAGCAACATTTGCAAACGTAAGTTTTTAAAGCTAAAACTTGTGTAAGGTATTTTTTAGGTAGTGAGGTTAGTAATATGAGTATTTAGGTCACACATAACACAATTATGATCTATATTTTCCACTAACACTTGATTAAGCAATAAAATCTTTTCTATAAAGTTTAAAAACCCAATCAGCGTTATTTCGATCTATTGGGTTTTTGACACAAAAAATCCAATTTGAGTAGCATAATGATTATGTTAAACAAAGTATCTTTTGTTAAAAAAAACGAAAATAAATTGAGCCAATATCATATCTGACAGCTGTTGAATATTGTGCCCAGTATAATTTCAGATGAATACATGCTTCCGAGCTTGGTGGAGTGTTAACTAACGTATTAGGATTGGAAACGCTCTCTTGATCATGACCATGTATGACTAAATGTAACGTAGTTTACTGTGTGTTTTTCCTTTGCAGCATCGTCCCATAGAAGCCCTCAAGTCTGGCTCAGAAAGTGACGGCAGTGGTGGAAAGACAGTAAGCTCTCTTTTACCTGTAGTCATACCTGAAACCAACCAACGAAAATTAAAATATCATGCATAGATAACAGGTAGATAGCACTACATGTGACTGTACTACCCTGTGTATGTTTAGGAGTAGGATGGTATGTTGCAGGTGCCCATGAGCAATGTTGCTCATGTTTTTAGCTCATCTGACGAAGTCAGATGCAGCTTGTAGAATCGCACGATCGTCCGTCCGTCCGTCCGTGCGTGCGTCCGGCCGTCCGTCAGTCAACAGTTGGGCACAAAGCTTAACCGCTTGACGTACGGTAACGATATTCGGGACGTCGGGGGGGGATCGTCAAAACGAGTTGGGATGTCGAAGCTGGGGGTCAAAGGTCAAAGGTCAAGAGGTGTAAAAGAAGGGGGAACATTCCCTCCTTAACTTAAGGTATAGGGAGGAAATGCAGAATTGCGGCACAAATCTAAACGGCTCGACCTAGGCTCGTGGTAGTCGGTGTATAGCATCATGGTAGGAAAAGCCATCACTGTGCCGAAATTGGAGGTCACAGGTCAAAGGTCAATGGGGCACAGGGCAGATTTTAGACATTTTCTGAGGACATGGTCTGACGGAGCGATTGAAAAACTTTTTTGTTTCAGCGGTGACCTAGCATTTTTATGGCTTTATTGAAAGGACCATGAGATCTACTTTCTGCTGACATGCGAAGAGTAAGTGTCAGATAACCTTTTGACCCTCAAGAGGAGGGTTAAACATGGATTTGTTGACTGTCTGTTAGAAAGAATTTGACTGCCAGGTTTGCTAGTAGAATCTATACATGCCTGGATGTATGAGGCTACAATGTCACAGTGAAATTTCAAAAGCTAAATTTGGTTGAAGAAGGTTTATGCTCCTTAAATCGTATAATTTCTATGGCATTCTGTACTGTCAGTATGTTACATGTAACGTATGCCACTGCCAGTGGCCACTGCCAGTGCATGTGGTGGTGGTACTGTGTAGTTTTTGCCTGTGTTAATTGGTTACAGGTGGCAGCTCTCTATTGCAGCCTGTAGGCTTGTGTAGGTAAATGGATGAGTGCTTACCTATTCTGTCTTGCAAATAGTTGTTGCTACGACGTACGATGGGAGCTTCCATCTTTAATCTGAAGACACTTAAACGTATGCGCCATCTCGTGGCAACTTTCATAACGATCCCAACGAACATTCCTTTGAGAAGGTTCCTGATACCATCCCTGTGCATTCCACTGTTTCGGCGTGTATGTGAACACATTTGGGACTAACAGGGTTTACTAGAATCCCACCACTCCACCACAGAGTCACCGCAGTAGACGTTAGATGAGCGCTGTCGCTCCGCGGCACTTGTTTAGGATAGTGAACAGCAGCTGTAGAGTGGTGGTTGCCAAACATAGTAATATCATGTGTAGGGTGTGGATCTATTTAATTGAGTTTAATATCTTAAGTTGAATTGGGCTCAGCCTCTAATTTGATGACGTTCCAGAAGCCAGCGTCCGTTCATTCAGAGGAAGAAGAGTTTGACTCTGAATCGTCTCAGGATTCTGATCGACAGGATGATGAGGTAGAAGTCTCTTCGGTTGACGTTTAGTATTAATTAGAACTAATATCATATCCCCTTCAACTGGTCTACATTCGTAATGGTTACGGAAAGGCGTCACGTGTACACACTGTACGTGATTCAGGTTGTTATAGAGTGGTATGGTGACAGAGAAATGTGCGCTATGAGGATGAATCATATGGATCAATACTATACTATGAATGAATCGCTGTATTATGACAGAGTCATATGGGTGCATTATGATCATGTAATAATAATAATAATAACAATAATAATAATAATAATTATTATTATTATTATAAAAAATAGTATTATTATGCGTGTAATATGATGAGTTTGGACCGTACACGAATCTCTTCCTTTCTCCAGGACTTCACACTGAATGACTGCAAACCGAAAAAGTCTGGCCGAGGGAGAGTAAAGCGCTCCTCAACACCGAGTTCACGTCCCAGCAGCCGTAACTCCCAGTCCTCTAGGGGATCAGCTCAATCTGGCGAGGCAAAGCGGAAGCGTGGACGACCGAAGAAGGCCGCTGTAGACAAAGGTAGGGAGGCAATGCTGACCGAATGCTGAGCGGATGTTGTGTCGGAGTAGTCGGGTGTGCGTGGTCGTCTACTGCTACAGTCAAACCTGCATACAACTGTCAACCAAAATGCTAAAAGTGGCCTTTATAGACAGACCTGTGTTCCTTAGCGCACGTTTGACTGTACTTGTGTCTTTAGCTGTTATCTGAATATCTTGTTAGATTGGTCAACCTTGAATAATATAATTGAGTAGGAAATAAACTGGTCTGCTAATCCCTATTATGGGTTTCCATTATTTTTCTCACATTTTCGGTGTATTTTCTTTCACTAGGGGTGAAATCCTCTAAGAGACCAGGACCCCGAAGCAAGAGGCAGTCGAGTAGCAGGAGCAGCAGCTCTAACAGCAGTAGCAGCAGCAGCAGAGACAGGTAGAGTGATGACTCCACTTATATCCACCCATTACAAATGATGAGTGCATGCGGCCCAGCATGGCTTGTCACAGTGCTAGGTGAAATGCTCTGGTCAGTATGTGCTGATCGAATTCTGTTTGCACGTTTCTCTCAGGTGATGCTGCATGAATTGCGAGCATTAGTGTTTATGGCACTACTGTTCGCATAAATTTAGCCGTTTAAGTTGCATGACAGTTTCTGTGAAATACACCAATCACAGAACGCAAATTTTTCCTGTTTATGGATATTGTGTTTGTGTGCATGCGTGTGAACCCGTGTGTGCATGCGTGTGCATGTATGTGTGAGTGCATGCATGCATGCATGTATGGCAATGCAAAAGTCAGGTGAAAAAGAACTTTGCACATATTTTCTTCTCTCTGGGTAACTCTTAACAACTCGTATCTCACTGTTTCTTCTGCGCTAGTTATTGTAGTAGATTGGTGGAATTTTGTTAGGTTGCGACATTGGTTATTGCTACATTACTTACATTTACTGTGTATATATTCGGACACTAACCCCTCCTGCTGATACAGCCACTAACTGACTAAAGGGATTTAAGTGTGAATTATGTATGCTCGCTTGGCAGATATAACAAATATGTTATATATGCATGCTGCAGTCGCATTAATTTTGTGTTTGTACGCTGCTGAAGTAGGTCAGGGTGACGTTGTGGGGACTTGGCAAGGTAACTGTCCATGTTAGGAAGCCGAAGAAATGGAGGTGATAGTGAATTTGTTCTCGCTTGCGCAACTAATGTAAATCCTACTAAATCTGGGTTTACACTACCGACTTTATGTTGTCAAACTGGCGAATTGGACCAACTTCCCAACTATACAACCGACAATCGGCAGTGTAAACGTGAAAGTTGCGCGACCAACCGATCGATAGCAACTAGTTGGGAGATTAGAACATGTTCTATTTTCACCACTCGGAGTTGCCGAATTTGCGAAATTGGTCCAACTTGCCAATTTGACAACATAAAGTCGGTAGTGTAAATCCAGCTTAAGACACGTAGTTTCTGTTACAAAACCAACGACGAGTAGAGAGTGGGTGGCTACTCATCACAAGAGAGAGATATCTCGCAATGTTCATATCTAAGTGAGAAGGCACGTAATCGCCGTGAGTGTGTTGTCACAGGCTGAGAAGGGGAAGGGAACTTATTTAGAGTGCATTATAGATGGTTAAGGAGGCTGTAATGAGTGTTTCTGCTGGTCATGAGGTATTAAGCTTGTTTAATATACAGAAAGGATGTACTACTGTTGCTGCTGCTGGTGGTAACAGCCACTCTTACATAATCCGTAGTACAGTACAATATCGATTAGTTGCATTAGAAGATAGTAAATTGCTTTCCTGCGTTGAAACTAATTGGGCACATTTTTGGAAGATGAGAGGGGAAAATTATGATCGGACTGATCAGAGAATGAAGCAGGAGCAAGTCGGCCGCTTGGATTATAGGAACCCATATTTGAAGAATTGTGTAGAGTCACAGAGAGTAGAAGCTAAAGTTAGAGGGATGTGTGTGATATTATGACACGAACATATCGGCTGTGACATCGCTGTTAGCAACTGATATGTCTTTGCCATGTGCTAGTCGCTCTGCCGTGTGAGGTGTATGCAGGCATGTGCACTGAGCCATTTGTTTGTGTCCACCTTGCAGTGTTCCGCTGGGCAGGATATGTAAAAGCACGGTTACCAGTGAAACCATACTGGATGCCAACATTCCAGTTGTCGCGCCTCTCGACCCTCTGCCTGCACAAGCTCCCGACGCGCCACAGCCCGCCCGACGATTAGCCGTCAGCCTTGTACGCTGGTAGGTGCAAATATCCCGTCCAATCCTACACCTTCCCCTCCCGCTCGACCAGGCCGCTTCTCTTTCATGCCGTCAATACTCCTTCTATTGGTGTGTAGGCATCTTATTGTGTTAAAGGGGGGTTTGGTTGTGTTCACGTCGACATTAAGAAGGAGGGTGGTTGTTGTAAGCGGTGACGTGTGTGTGTGTGTGTGTGTGTGTACGTGTGTGCGCGTGCGCGCCGCATGTGTCTGTGGTGTGTGTATGTGTGTGTGAGTGTGTGTGTGTGCGTGCGCGTGCGCGTGCGTGTGTGTGCATGTGGTGTTGTCTGTGTTGCAGGGGATAGTTTGTAGTCACTATCTGTAGGTGTAGTTGTAGTGTAGAGCTTATCACTGATGGTGAATAACATTGTGAAGAAGGTGGGAATGCTGTGAAGTTTTAACCTTGTGATCTACACAAGAATTGTGTGCGATACCTATTAATAATTTGTTTTGTTTTATTAGATGGTTTTGGATAGATTGGTAGTTTTTAAATTTTATGAAAGTTGTTTAATTTTGGATAAGATTTTTAAATGTGTTAAGTAATAACTTGTTACTTTATGTGTGAGACTACTGTGTACACCATGTTACCATGCACATTTTCTATTGCAAATTCATTGTTGATAGTTTTACATTTGTTTTGTTTGTTTTGTGTTTTTAGTGATTCTGTCAGCATTGACAAACTTGTGATGGATATGGACAAGTCTAAAAATAGTGGTAGTGAGTCAGAAGAAGAGCTGAAACCTGCAAAGAGGAAACCAGCGGCAAAAAAGAGGGCCAAGCCCGGTGGTGCAGATGCCAGTGAGGGGGCAACAAAACCAAAAGCGAAAAGAAAACGGCCGCCACCAAAACCAAAGGAAGTGACGAAGATTGTACTCAGTAGCAGCAGTAGCAGCAGCAGTAGTAGTGATTCTGACAGGTAGGTGACAGAGCATCACCATATAATAATAATAGTTAATAATAATAATAATAAATATAATATAATATATATATATACATGCACACACATATCTTGAGTCATATTTACCAGGTAAAAATGTGAAATTATTTATCCTGGATTGCAAACATTTGCACTGACACTGTTGCTAGCTGACAGCTGTTGTGACTAATAATGATGGCTGTGATACCGTTTACATATGACTAATGACAACAATGTTAGAATAGTCATAAACATGTTCGTTAAGCAGGATATAGGTTTGAGGAGACCAATAGCTAACTGTGTTGGGTTTAAAATATCGCCAGTATCAACAACGTATGTAGATGCGTTTTCCACTCTAATGTCTGACTCTAAGCAGCAAGTGTTGAGTGGGGGGGGGGTGCGCTAGCAATTTTTGTTGTGGTACTTGTTAGTTTTACTTACTTATCCTCTTCACTCCCAGTGGAGCATAAGGCCACTGTTGTTGTGGTACTTGTTAGTTTTGAACTTTAGTTATTTATTGATGTTAATTTGTGAACGTTTCATCTTGTAGTGGTGAGATTAGCAGTTGGAAGAAGAAAGATGAGGAACGAAAGAGAGAAGTTGAGAGGAAGTTGAAGGAGGCTGATGAAAGGTAAAACAAAGATGAAAACTTCATATAAAAATTGATAATGTAAACCAATACGCATCCCATCGCATAGACAGTGGATTTTGTTGGTAAATGTCTGTAGATAAAAAGCTTTTGAAATTTACATTTCAATTCCAAAAATCAATTTTCTGATTGCATGTTGAACAGTTTTAGTATTGATATTTTTCACTCGCATATATTTTTTATGTTTTCTTATAAATAAAAATGAATAAGTAAATGAAAAAGCTTGCAATAGGTATTGAGGTGTGCATTCTGATGTCATTTTCTTTGGTTCTCTATTCACAAAGAAGGTATCACTAATTGTTTGAATGTAGGAAGCAGCAAGAGGAGAAGGAAAGTCTTAAGGCAGCACAGAAAGAGCTTAGAGAGGAAAGGAAGCTAAAGCAGCAGGAGGAAGAGCAGAAGAAAGATGTGAAGAAACGACGTTCATCTGAGTCAAAAGATAAAAAGGTTAAAACACATATATGAATTATATTATTCATTTCATTGAGAATACTGATCAATACATGGGGGTCAGACTTATCAAAGTATTAATTAGGCAAATGAGAGTTAATATCCAATGGTGGCATGTACACTATCTAAGCTTCGGTTAGTGGTGATGGCTACCTTGCTACCACGGTCCTATCGTAATAAGAGATAGATAAGGTCGCTTTGCTAGGACTTCGATAAATGCCCCAAAACACCAAAAACTAATTTACTACCTCACAGACCTTTTTGGCCAGGGGAAACACTGTAACACTATATGTTTTTTACTAGAATAACAGACTCTGATTATCTTAAACATTTTTTAACATCACCCCATCACTGATTGAGTGTCATGATAATTTTATGTGGTAACGTAATGATGACATACGATAATGCTAAACTAGAGCTTTTTATTCATGCTCACAGAAGGAAAGGAAGAAAGCAAAACATGATGAAAGCACAAGTGAGAGCGAAGAGGAGGGAACACGACCAAAGAAAGTTGGGAAGCACAAGAAGAAAGAGGCGGCTAGCAGCGATGAACAGGATGTTGATGTGGAGGTAAGCTTTCGTCTTCACCGAAAACACGCATTCTTTGTGACAAATACATAACGGAAATGTGTATCTTGTCCATATGCTGTTGGCTGTTCATGATAGCTATCAATTTATGTTGGGCACACAATTTGGTTGTGGGAGCTTAAAAATCTGATTTGTCTCAATATGTTTTTAGTGGCATAACAGGGAACAATTTCCAGCCAAAAATTTGCATAGCAAATGTGCTATACAAAATAAATTTTGCATAGCAATTGGATAAATTTGAATAGCATTTTTTTTCAGACAATCACAGTGCAAATTTACACCGCAGTGCATGCTTGGCGTGTTATCGTGTCGGCCTGTGACAGGCACAGCTAGCTTAAGCCTAGGACACACTAGCGATTCTGCACGCTGCCCGGCAGCGTTTAAACAGCGTGCAAGCTTGGCACTCGCCCGCTCGCCAATGTCGAGTGAAAATAATATCGGGCCGGGCGAGTGAAAGCTAAAGCTGACTCGCCCATGTTGGCGAGTAAAAATAATTGTCTAGAACTTTAATCAAATGTTGGTTCCTTACGTTATATATCCAAACATTGATGAAATACAGTTCTAGCGATTGTGAAGGGCGGCTATCCGACTCCTCGACCACGACATCCTCACTTTATATTATCAAAGGTCGCCGAAGAAAGCAGCCCGCGAGAGCGCGCAGCGCCAGCACAGCGTGGCTGTGTATACGTGCCTGGGGCGGCATATTGATTGATGTACGGGGGGGGGGGAGTGCAGGATTGTTTAAAAGTCACCTTGGCCTTGGTGTTAACAAATCAATAAAATCGGCGTAACGTGGCATTTCATTGACAGGGCAAAGCAGCCCGAGAATAAAAGTAAATTGTAAACATGTATGTTTCCGTTTACATCTCGCATGGGCTGCATCGCACAACTGCGATTCATAAAAAAATATGCGTAGCAAATGGCTGAAAATACATCGCGAATTGCGATGCGATACCGGGAAAATTATTCCCTGCATAATATATCTGTTAGGCTCTCAATTAGGCACCTATAAAGGCTGGCCTACGTGATTTGTCTACAGCTTTCTGTGTACATTCGAATGCTCAGAATATCATCTTGAATACTTTCGAAATCATACTGCATCCAGGCTGGTGATTTTTTTTACAAAGAATTTTTATCCATGCTAGTACTACAGTACTACATCAATGTTTGGAGTAATCTTTGAAGTATTATTAGTAAATACTACTTTGAGTAGGGTCTGACTAATGCTCTTGTCACTGACACTGACCAACTACATTTGTAAAGCTGTCCTGTTTGAATGACATGTTTAACGAGTGAGTCTCGTGGTGTTTCATATCTTCGTGAGGTTGTGATCACCTACTGTTTCTTTTCTGTGGCAGACTGTTGCACGTAAGAGGCACGCGATGAGCAGCAGCGACGGAGAGAAGGAGGAGAAAGAGAACCACGCAAAGAAAGCCAAGGAGAGTTCGTCTTCGGCAGCTGGAAAGTCTACAGCAGACACCAGAGGTCGGGCGAAGCGTGACGAGAGGAAGCAGAAAGCGCAGTCTCGGGCGAGGTATGATGAGTTGAGCTGTGACTACTAGTAAAGGTCGAGACAGACTGCAGTGACAACGACGAACTGTAACGTTTGGCGACATTTAAAAAAAATTGCAAACGACCGTTAAGGAAAAATTATCTAGAGTTTGAGGTTGATTTTAGAGTTGTTTTCTAATTTCCAGCAACGTTGTTGTACAATACTTGTACAAGTACTGCCAAAACACAGTTGTAGATCACATTTTCATCGGCACGTGACAAAAACATTTCTCGGCGAAAATGCGATAAAGCATTTATTTCCATTTATTGCATTAGATTTTCCAGCTTTTTTTGCAATCGTTTCAGTGTATTCATGAATAAACGTGTCATAATATCGTAATAGATTATAAAGATTAAATAAACCTAATAAATCTATGTATAAGAAATGAATAAAGATATTCAGGAGAAATCGGTCTGGTAATAATATTATTTCAATAATTTTGCACCATAAAGACAGTGGCATTTTGTAGTTCTATATCTATGCAGTGTTCATTAGTTATGCATGGATATGATCTACAGGGCACAGAAGGAAGCTGCAGATAAGAAGAAGCAATCTGAGAAGAGAAGGCATCTTGAAGAGAAGAAGAAAGAGAAGGAAAATGATCGAAAGTCTGAATCAAAAAGGGTACTGTGTTTTTGTTTGCTAATCATGAGCATTTATGTTATCATTATGTTCTTTATTATTATTTTTATATTATTTGCTATTTTTCTACGAGAATTTAAATATTTTACAGTGTGTAAAGGATTTAAATACTTCTCATGTTCTTGAAATGCAGAAATAGTATTCAGTGGTAATTGTTTACAGTCGGGAAAGACAAAGGAAGCTTCACCAAAGAGAGATGGTGAAGAGTTGATAAAGAAGAAGATAGCTGACAAAATGTAAGTGAAATATGCAAGAAAATGGACATTATCAGCTTTTGCAAAAAGTTGTAATATTTGACCTCAGAAATCTTTCATGTAGGTATGATGGCTTCATTCATTCAGTAGTCCATCATGCAGGGCTTGATTTTGTGAAAAAAGTACTGTAATCCCAGAGGATTTGTTAAGACAATCCTGAAATATTCGGTAACCAATACTTGACATATTCAAAGTGTACCCTACATCACTCTGCGAGTCAGTAAGTTATATGCGACTGATATTATCAAGAGCGTATTAAGAAGCAGAGCGTACAACGGTGAAATACTGAAACCATGTTGCAGTATTAGTCGAATTAAGAAACTTTGCCCGTTTTATTTTGACGATTCTTTGCGGTAGTATTGATGATCAGCTGTCCTACCTTACTAATATAAAACAAACCGCTTGTCCCTACGATACTCCTACGCTGAGATAATGAGCAATGAAAATCTGGTATTTTTGCCGAAAACCGACTCGAGATCCCTGTTGGCTGCAACTCTCTCTCTCGCTTTGAGATAGCTTTGGGGAACCTCGCGTGTTTCCGTCAATGATTGACAAATGGAATGAATGACGTCTGTTATTGATTGCCATAGTGATGACCCCCACCTGTGCCCACCTCACGCTGGATGTATAGTAAACTCTGTAGTACTGACGTGAGTCAGCGCTACCAATGCGCTACACAGCGGCGGCGGCCGAGAGATGGTCACAGCCAACAGGGATCTCGAGTCGGTTTTTGGCAAAAATACCAGATTTCCAGCGCTCATTATCTCAGCGTAGGAGCATGGTAGGGACAAGCGGTTTGTTTTATATTAGTAAGGTAGGACAGCTGATCAATACTATCGCAAAGAATCGTCAAAATACAACGGGCAAAGTTTCTTAATTCGACTAATACTGCAACATGGTTTCAGCATTTCACCGTTGTACGCTCTCCTTCTTAATACGCTCTTGATATTATACTTGTACATAGTAAAGGCAAGGAGGAGGAGAAGGAAAGACTGAAACAACTAAAGTTGATGGAGAAGAGGCGGGAGAAGCTAAAGACCTTAGAGGAGAAGAAAGAGAAGAAGATGTGTGAGTACCGATGTCTTCACATGATGGTATATTTCTTTGTGTGAAGCCTGGGCTAAAGTGTAAACCCTTCTGGCGAACATTTCATGCATGTGTGAGTTGTGTGTAAGAAGGGGAATAAGTAGGGTGTTATATGAAGACATGTATCAGTTGATAGACAACTAGTTTTCCCTGAAATGTAGATTTTATAGGTAAAATATGGCGGTATCTCATCTGTACTGTAGGCGAATACCAGAATAACGGATACCTTGTGTCATTTGAGAGAGTATATAACCTTGCCGCCAAATTCATAATAATTTGTTTAATTTCACTGCACATTACCTTACAAACCAGAATTCCCTTACATTACAAAACAGCCCAAGTTGTTTGGTTTTAGATAAGAGATGACTTAGGTGATTAAACATTTTCTACCATTGATGTGACGATTGATAGCCAGAGGGGCAAATGGATGGGCAAGCAGATAGAACAGACAAACAGACAGACAGCCAGACAGGCAGGCAGGCAGGTGCAGACAGTCAAACAGACACACAGATAGCCAGGCAGACAGACAGACAGACAGGCATACAGATAGACAGATAGACAGCCCGAATGGACAGATACATATTGCATTTAAGTAAATACTATCTACATTTATGTTGCTTAGTGGCACAACTTCAAGAGCGACTCACCGAAATAAACAACAACATTCGCCGGAGCCTGCAGGCTAAGAATCCTGTAAGTAGTATGTCGCTGTAATGCTCTATATTGATATTAACTATATGCTAAATTCATTAGAATGTAGTTGCGATCTGAGGTCTGATGTTTACTTGCGTTGTACAGCCCATGTGTCCTTAGAGGCTGCTACAGTTGAAGATTTGTGGTCTTTTGGTTATCCTTACATGGCTAAGGTATTTTTATAAGGCTGCCACAGTTAGGGTTTGAAATAATTTAGTCTTATATAATACGGCAGGAGTTTCCTTGGAAGGTTGTTGTAGTTGAGGTTTGCACGTCTGTTCACGCTCCTGCTGTAAACTGGGGGGTGACTATCGAGTGTTAGTACATTTATAAATACATTTTAAAATCGTGTTTGTGTTAGTTTGACATGAGATCTTAGTGGATGCACACAGGCCATCAACTAGGTTTTTGCACATATGTAAACCATGTTTGTGTTGGTTTGACGTAGGATCACGACGCGTGTACACGGGCTATTGATGAACTGGACAGCCTGAATCTAACACAGAGTGTTCTGAAGAGAACTCCTGAGATTATGGTCACCATCAAACGCGTGAGTCTTTGAAAACTAGCAGGTGGATGCACCACATCACCAGGTGTTAGAATACTGCCATCGGTTTTCATTATATTATCGTGTAAAATAATTTAATTTTGTGATAAATTTAAAGTAATTGCTACAGCGATAGTTTCAGTAGTTAGTGTCACTGAACACCTACTGCCATCTAGTGATAGCACAGGGAAACAATCAGTACTGTTTGACAACGACAGCCAGTTAGCTGTCAAAATTCTCGCTCCAGTGCATATTTTGGATTATTTCGAATTTAATGCATCTCTTTGGGCCTACTGTCAGAATGTTAACATGTCTTATGACCTCCATACAGCGGGGAATGTATAATGAATAATACAATACAAGCATTGGCAGAAGCGATTATGTAAATCAGTGAAATATTCTGACAACATTTCCAATGCGAAGTGCGATATGATGGATGTATCGGAAATTGAAAACCACTAAAACTTTATTACCATAGTTTATACATTTTATATATTGACTATTGTGTCATTGCATTGGTTGGTGTTTTATTGTATGTAATAGTTCATGTAATAAAAAAAAATTCTGTTTTTGCAGTGTCGCAACTACAAAGCCAGTGTAGAAGTAAAGCGCAAAGCGGACGACCTGTATGTAAAGTTCAAAAAGCTCTTCTCTGACAAAGTAAGTAGAATTAAATATTTCACGGTACAATCAACCATTTTTCTTGCACTGAACTGAAGTGTAAGTTCAAACCTACCTCCCTCCAACTATGCCAAACTGTGCCCTTAACCTCCCAGTATAACTCATTATACCAACAACCACCTTCCCTCCACTATAAGCAACTGTTCATTCGACAATCGTATTGATTTAAATCTGAAAAAATTTAGTAGAATGAAGATTTACAAATAAAATTTCCACTTAATTAACTGGCAATTACAGTTAATATTTGAATGACACTGCTTTATCTAGCTGTTACTGTTAGCAGCAATTATAGGGTCTTGCAAACTGTTGGTTATGAGAAATTAACCATAAGCAGTGTCTGACTGAGCGCGAAACCTGAGCAGATATTTAACGTGGCAATTAGCTAGTTCGCAGAGCGTGTGTGATTCTAGATCTAGGATATTTCTAAGTAACAACGGCTAACATGGAAATAGGATTTAGAATTCTAATTCGAGCACTCATTTAAAGTTGATCAACCTTGCAGCTAAATGCATCTCATTTGTATTGCTACTTTCATAACATTTCTTCTCAAAATCTATACGAAATTACTTCTCTTACGAACGTAGCACCACAGTGATGTTTACACATCCGTGACAGCGGAGCGATCTGCTTAATTCAGTAACAGTTCCTTTCTATGATAAAACGAGTTATAATTCATTATTCGATGTTTATTCAGTACAAAATTGTTAAATTTGTTTAAATCATATATCGTTATCTATATTACTTATGCAACCAGGAAACAAATATAGTGTTTTTGTTCCAGGAACTATTTGCGCTATGGCGTATGGATACTATTTTGCGTTATCTGGCACTTCATACAAATTACTTGCATACACACAAGTTTTCAAAATAGCCAACTTCGGAGCACATTTCTGGCTCAATGAGAACATTTCGTGATGTTTGCACACTGCAAGTATGCTCACAGTAGGTCTATATAGGCCTTTTGTTGCGAGGGCTATCCGTTTTAAATAATAATATTATTACAGGTTTCTGCTGTAAAAAAGGAGGATGGTGAAACGTCTGAGATGGGCAACAGCTCAACAGCTGAGCCGGTGAAACCAGCAGTCACTGCTGAAACACTCACGACAGGTTTGTAGGACAATATCTGGCATTAATATGTATTTAACATGCACAGAGTGTGATTAAAATACAGTCAATTGAGGGTAGTTTACATCACGTGTGGACAATAATGAATTATCGATGGTTATTGCAAAAGTGGAAAATGTCACGAAATCCACAAACATTTTATTTAGATGTCAGTTAGCTATGGTCCAGATGACATCAACTTTGCTTTCTTTTAAGCGAAATCATATCTGTCATTGCACACATTTTTTAATCAAGGATTACTTCACAAAACTCTCTATAAACAAAAAATAAACTAAAACAATACTGTAACAAGGTAGCTTAATTCCTAAATGAATCCCAAATCTTTACCAATGCAACAACCTTACTGGCAGTAACGACGAAAACTGACGACATTAATCAATATCTAAGGGGACAATTTTGGCTTGTAATAATCGCTGGTACACGTGTTTTTCTGCATAGATGGCAGTCAGGCTGGCAATGCCGACCACAAACCTGAGGAGTTTATCTCAACAGCAGCAACGGATCCACGTGAGCATGGTGCCGATGTCAGCAGTGGCCCCAATGATGCAGGCAGTGGCGCCCCTGGTGACGAACCGGGTAATCATGCACCCACGGAAGAAGGTGAGATGCAGCATCTTCCCTCTCGATCTCAGTGATGATCTTTGTTGAGACATAGTGTACGAGTTAGGGTCATGGCAGAGTGTGGCCGGTGATATTTATTGATGCGTGTTGCATGCTGGTGGTGATTACGTGCGACAACTTCACACAAGTCAACGACTGTTGTCATCACTGGCATAGCGTACCATGCTTAATGTTGCTTACTACAGCTGTTGTGTGCGATATTCGATCAAACTTGTATGCAGAGAATCAAAAGAATTGGCAAAAGTGTCCTTTATAGACATGTATCCATTCTATGGGGGTGGCCACTAACACAAGGTTGACTGTATTTTCAAAGTTGACTTACTGTTGGACGTAAAAATTCAAATTTATTTCGTACAGACGTTCGAGAAACGACACGACGTGTCTTTACAAGGCCTCACACGATGCGTTTACGTGTGATTTACACGCCTGTTTCCTCTATACTATAGAGTCTATAGATTCTCACGCCGACGTTGCTGCTGCCGCAGCAGAGCCGCCAGCCGAGCAAACGACAGAGCAGCCACTAGGCGGCGCTCCCCACCGCGCGTACACGCCGGAACCGGTTGTTCCGGATGCCGAACTCGTGAGTCCGGCGGAGAGTGCGGACGATGGCGAGGCAGAGGGTGCCACGTGCGCGGGAGCCGAGCCGGTCAGTCCGGCGGATAACATGTCCGGTCTCGCGGAACCGATCAGTCCCGGAGAGATCCCACCGGAAGGTGAGCAATGATGGACAGTCGTGCAATGACGTGAACACCGACGGTGCTCCTTAAAAAAACGGCAATGTTGAATCGCAGTCGCGTAATATTTTTTGGCCATCATTTTGCTTTGGTAATAATAATATGCGCCTATAACTATCAGACTTTTGTACTATAATAAGATGTATTCTAGTATCACTGATCAGTGTGAGCAAATAGGCCACAATTAAAATATTCTTTGTTTCTCCTCTCCCGACCCTGACGTTATAACTTGTGTAGGTAGGTAGGAAAATTCTTTTTTGTTCTCAGATAAAATGTACTTTTTTTGCTATTAAAACCATAATATGTATGCTAGTACATGTAAGATTGTATGCATGCACACGATCTGAATGTTCCATCTGAATCCGACATGCTTCCATTTGAACTTGGGCATCTGTTCAAGTAGAACAGACTCGCAAAAACGCTTCGCTATCATACATCACTAGTTTGTAAAGCACATTCGCGACCGCGATGCGGGATTCGGCGGAATAGTCGGGTAATGGTGTAAGTTGGACTCGTCATAAACAAAGTGCGGAACCAGGGGTTGAAATTAGATTTTTATTATGGTATCCATGTGGGATACCAGGTATTTGAAATCTGGTATCCCGAAAGATCCGGTATCCCTTTTTTAGATAATAATTTCAACAATGTTGGTATCCAAAACTTGAAATAAGCAATAATGACATTTCACGGCTTTCCTGGCTGCTGGCTGGCTGGATGGCTGGATGGCTGGCTGAAGGGCTGGCTGACTGGCTGGCTGGCTGGCTGGCTGGCTGAAGGGCTGGATGGCTGGCTGGCTGGCTGGCTGGCTGGCTAGTTGTGTGGTTGTTTTGTTAATTAGGTAATCGATCCTCTTTGATCTGAGACGTCTTCGGTAATGTAATGGTAAATGTGACGCTAGTAGAAGAATGTCGCGAGTATCTACAAAGTGACAGAACTAACGTTTGCCACATTCGATCACTACTCCCGCATCCTAAATCCGCCTCCCGCATCTCTCTGTTGCAGACGAGACGCCGGCGGACGCCGACGCTGTAACCACGACGATGACGACGGACACGCGGCAGCCGGGCGGGGGCGTCATGGCGGACATTAGCGAGACGGAGGAGATCAGCGAGGCGGAGATCGTGAGTAACGGTGCGAGCAGTGACGACGACGGCGGCGGCGGCGCGCAAGCGGCTGCCGGACTTGAGGAGGTCAGCGACACGGAAGACATGAAGGGCGGCGACTCCGCCGAGATGGAGGACGTCAGCGACGGAGACGAGATCGTCGGCGGGGGCGCCACCGTCGCGGGCGCGGAGCCGGTGAGCGACGCGGAGGAGGAGGAGGAGGAGCGGCGGAGGCGGAGAGGACGGCGGCGGCGGGTCGACGATCACATTCACTCGATCTCTCCCGTCTCCTCACGATCGTCGTCGCCGGCAACGGCCATCGCGGAGGAGGAGGAGGAGGGCGCCAGGGAGAAGGCGCCCACGCCGGAGAACTATGAGCTCGAAGACGGAGAGATTCTCTCCGACGACGATTAGCTGTGACGTGCGTGGCGCCCTTTGCTGTCGCAATGGCAATCTCGGCGCGTGGCGCCCTCTGCTCTCGCAACGGCAATCTCGGTGCGTGGTGCCCTCTGCTGTAGCAACGGCAATCTCGACGCGTGGCGCCCTTTGCTGTTGCAATGTCAATCTCGGTGCGTGGCGCCCTCTGCTGTCCGCAACCGGCAATCTCGGTGTGGTAGCGCCTTCTGGCTGTTGCCCAAGACGGCAGTACTCGACGCGTGGCGCCCTCTGCTGTCACAACTTGCAATCTCGGCACGTGGCGCCTCTGCTTGTTGCAACGGCAAACTTCGGTGGCGTGGCCGCCCTCGCTGTTGTGCAGATGGCAATTCTCCGGTGGCGTATGTGCCCTCTGCCTCCAGTAATCTCCCACTGTGCTCGACTGAGAGCAAATCGAAAGCGTTTGTGACGATGATGATGATGTATGATGATGAATGATGATATGATGATGATATGATCGAAGTTTTTGAGTGTAATGCTCGTGCTTTTGTTGTGCAATTGTGCTGAAAAATTATATATCTTCTGTTGTCCAATGGTTCCCTCCTAACTGGGTAAGAGTAGAAAATCTTACTCGGCGCAGTGGTTACAGTTTGGTTAGTGTAGTCATGAAAACTTTCCCTGTGGCACTGCTGGGTAATCAGAGTCGACACGGTATCTAATAATATACATGTGTGTGTGTGTGACATATAAAATATTCTGTCAATTGTAAATAGAACACAGAAAATGGTGAAACAATGGCAAAAAAATGCCATGGGAAGTGCGATAACAATAACTTTAATATGTAACACCGAAATTATGGCAACATGTGTACTACAAGTACAACTTTGCAATTTGTCGGCAAAATGTCAAAATTTGGAGTATTTTGCATAAAAAAATCGTTTTATTTCAATGAAAATATGTTTATGAATCCGTGTGCGGTTCATATCAGTTGTGTTGCGCTATGCTCTTTCAACTGCGTTTAAGAATCATGTTAACTTAAAACACGTAATAGGTGATCTCCTCGCTGATATGCGTGCGTGCGTGCGTGTGTGTGTAGTGTGCGTGCGTGCGTGCGTGCGTGCGTGCGTGCGTGTGGCGTCAATGTATGTTTGTGTATGCACACGTGTGTGTGTGTGTGTGAGCGCACGTGTCCGCATTAATGTGTTAGTAGAGTCGCATTGAAATTCTGTTAACAGAACGGCTGTGTGTCGTGTTGTGGTGCGTGCGTGTGTGCGTGCCGTGCTGCGTGGCGTGTGTTTTTCGTGAAACAATATTATGTTGAATTCTTACGTATGATAAATGCTCGATTTAATCGATGTAAATAATGTGACACCGTGTTGATGACACCAGAAGCCTTGAATAATAGCAAAAATAAATATAAATACTACCTTTTACAGAACTTTCTTCTATTGCACCGTCTCTCTCGTCTCAGTGTGTTACTTCCTGCATTTTATTATTGTGAAAAGTTTTTATACCGTTGTAATTTGGATAAGCTTGGTAAAATGTAGACTTTACGATAGTATGGAATGATTTACACTATTCTTTTATTGAGCTGTATTTAGCCCGAGCCAACTCTAATAAGCACTAAACTGAGAACCAGATTATGTATACCGAGTGACTGAACACTACCGCTCCGTGACATCTTACTGTCTTAATCCTAGGGCTGCGCTAAGAGGTTTTTCGTGGTACCCGCTTTTTCTACAAATAACATCGTGATCAGTTGCTTAATACGTATCATCAACGGACTTGTCACGACTACATATAATGAACGGGCATCTAAATAATATACCCTCTAATTAGTGATGTCACGATCATGGCGAATATACTCGATCAATCGTTGACAGTGGCTCGAAACCAACCACGCTATCATCGCTAACTAATACATAGTTAATGCCCTTTATTAAACAATAACAATGTATATACACCAGTAGTAAACATGCTAAAACAAACAGTAAACAGGGCTAAACAAGCGGCATACAGCACACCGCGTCTGCCCGCTTACCCACCACGCAGCATTCAACACGCCGAGTACCGATTGTAAAACCGATACAAATCGTTACTTGGATCCAACATGATGACGATACGAAACTAACAACCGATTGACAACACAACCTTAAATTATATTTTGTACAATAATTTAAAAGGCCACGCCGAGAATGACTGATGCGCTACTGCACAATGCGAATCTGGGATGAGATGCTAGTGTTTGTGCAAT